CCACCCAATCTTAAACTCTCATATACAAAATTTAATACACCCGCCCCCAATCTCGAACTCTCATATACAAATACCTCCCCCCTCCCCCCAATATCAACCTCTCACATACCTTCCACTACGTCACATTCGACGTCACATTTGACCAGCACCCTACGACTTTCCCCAAGGACAGATTGATCCAGACCCCGAGCTTCCTTTCTATGACGTCAAAGTTAAAGACGTCAGTTCAGCGGGCGGGCCTTCCCACCGATCGTTTTGTTGACTCTTCGAGGCTGTGAAGGAGATAATTATGTGCCCGCTCCTTCTTTCCTATCAAACATCTATCGTCCTTATCTCCCCTTCTTCTTTGTTATGTTTGTTACTGTCTTGTAACACCTCTAATCTTCTGGCGCTCATATGACCTTATGCAGTTGCCAACGCCGTAAAACCTCTACTAAAACTAATATTATGCTCCCTACTTTTTCATCCTCTGTTGACGTAAAGAGCTGAGGGGAGATGCAGTTTTCTAAAGTAGGCCAACTCTGCAGCTCTTTCAGTTGGGATGTTAAAGCTTCTCGATCAGAACTCCATTAACTCCATCAACCCATCTTTTGTGAGGCCTACCTCTGTCTTTATAGGTTGAGTACTTGGTGTTATGGAGGGTCCGGTGGCGGAGCGGTTAGTGCGCTCGTCTCCGAAGCGGAAAGTCCGAGTTCGAGCCTCGGTTCGAACACGGAATTTTTTTCGCCCCTTCGTGCCCACCCAGCAGTAATGGGTTCCTGACTTCGAGTTGGGGAAGTAAAGGCGGCGTGGAAAGGAACTGGCCACCCTACTACAATATGCCGAAGGCCCGGGAATTTGTCTCACTAAAAAGGCAATCCCCAATGTCCGGATCGGATGCGGGAACAAATTTACCTTACTATACACTGAATAGTGCGAATAGTGGGTGGTTGGCGGGTGCTCTGTTGTGGTTTGCTCCTTCTTTCCTATCAAACATCTATCGTCCTGATCTCTCCTCATTCTTTTTTGTGTTTGTTTCTCTCTCTCAACACCTCTAATCTTATATGACTTTCTTGTGTTGCAAGTGCCGTAAAACTCTTACTAAAACTAATAGTGCGAATAATGAGTGCTGCCCCCTGAAAACGTGCTCAAACGTCTAGCAGCTTTACCTGCACATTTTGTCTTGCATTTGCTTCGGAAAGGATTTTCTCTATCATTAAGTTATGCATAGCCCCC